GATTTGGGATTTTTCAGCTTTCAAGCCAGGTGTGGTGGCTCAAACCTGTGACCCCACCCAGGGTCTCTGAAGAGGTAGAATTGCTGCCAGGCAGTGGGTCAGGCCAATTTTGACCCAATATTTTCCATGTGGGATGAGCTGAAGGGCTGCAGCTCTAAACACCAAGGCCTTTGTACCCCAGAGCTGGGGCTGTGCCCGCATGGTGAGGAGAGTGGGCAGGGTGCAGAGGGCGTGCGCAAACATCTCCCTGCTTCCTGTTACAAAGCGCTTTGTTTTGGGTACCGGGGATCGAACTCAGGACCTTTTGTGCCTTCCAGGCAGTGGCACCCTGAGCTAAATCCCAGACCCTCCCTGCTTCCTGCTGCCCCCAGCTGAGTCCCGGGCTCAGGATGCTGTACAGAAGCTCCTAGCTGTCCCAAACTGGATGGCTTCATTGAACGGAAATGTTTCCTCTCATACAGCCAAAGGCCAGATTTCCAAAATCAAGGTTTTGGCAGGGCTGAGCCCCTCAAGGGGAGGGTCCTTCCTGGCCTTCCTACCTTCTGGCGGCTCCAGCGCTGCGTGGCTCAAGGCCACCCCTCCTCGGTGACTGTGCATTCACGTGGCCCCTCCCATTCCGATTGGTGACTGCTCTGTGTTATCTCTCTTTGCATTCCTGGGTTTTCTTTCTTTCTTTCCTGGGAGATTGAACCCAGGCCCTCTTGCATGACAAGGCAAGTGCTCTACCATTGAGCTCCCTCCCCAGGCCTTTTAAATCTTATTTTGAGACAGTCTCACTAAGTTATCCATCCGGGCCTCCAATTTGAGATCCTCCTGCCTCAGCTTTCCGAGTACTTGGGATGACAAGTATGTGCCACTCTGCCTGGCCCTTTGCCTCCCTTTAAAAAAAAAATTATCCCATTCCCCCCTCAAACGCTCTCCTTTGCCTCCCTCTTACAAGGATGTTCAAGATGACAGTTATCATCTCAAAATGCTAAATTTATACCTGAAAATTCCCTTTTTTTTTCCAGACAGGGTCTCACTATGTAGTTGTGGCTGACCTGGAACTCACTATGTAGCCCAGGCTGGTCTCAAACTCACAGCAATCCTCCTGCCTCAGCCTCCCGAGGGCTGGGATTACAGGCGTGTGCCCCCACGCCCGGCTCTCTTTTTTTCTAATTATTGTTTTTACATAAAAGGGGTTAGGATTTGATGTTTGGGGATGGCTATTACTCACCATACTACAAGATCTCTGATTCCCCCACCCCACCCATTAAAGGGGCTTTCTACATTGCTTAACTTGAAGAAACCTTGATTTCCAGTGTGGTCTCTTCAGCTAAAGCCCCTGGGACCACCCTTACTGCTGCCCAGCCCCACCAACCCCTAGCCTTGTCACAATTACTTGGGCAGATTATTTGGGGGGAGGCAGATTTTTTTAAAGCAGCACCCCAACCTCACCCTAAGACATTCTGATCCAGCAGGTTGGACTCAGGAAGCTGTGATTTCTAAAGCTTTCCCCAGTGCTTCTAACACATACCCAGGAGCAAGAACCACGAATGTAGAGAGAGGAGCTGAATGAAGGAAGGAATGAATGATCAACTCAAACTGCTAGCTTTGCTTCTACACCACCAAAGAGCTTTCAGAGTTGATAGATTGGCTGACGGGGGAGGGACCCTGTGCAGTGGGCAGGGTGTTGCCGCAGGGCTGGTCCTTGCTGTATCTTTAGGAAACATACGCCTGGCCCTGACAGGTGGCCCACTGGTATCTGGCTCAGAAGTGTCACTGATTTGCATCGTGTCTACTCCAGACAGGGTACTCAGATTTCTGGGCATTTAAAACGAGGAGCAGGCTAGGCAGGATGTTGTAATCTCTGCACTCGGGAGGCTGAGGCAGGAGGATCACCACGAGTTCATAGTAAATTCAAGGCCAGCCTGAACTACATGGCGAGACCCTCTCTCAAATAACAATAACAATAACAACAGATTAGGAACCAATCTGGGAATTGTGTTAAGATTATACCGTAGGGCCAGGGATTTAGCTCAGCAGTTCGGTGGCCTGCCTTGCAAGCGCGAGGTCCTGAGTTCAATCCCTGGTACCAAAGAAAAGAAAAGATTATAACTGTAGGGGCCGCGGATTTAGCTCAGTGGTTCTGGCACCTGCCTCTCAAGGGCAAGGGCCCGAGTTCGAACCCCGGTACCAAAAAAAAAAAGAAAGAAAGAAAGAAAGAAAAAAGTTGATAACGGTCACTGAGGGGAGGTCTTACCACCAACCTTACTCCATGTCCCAAATGAAACAAATAAACATAAAATGGCAACAAAGGGTAACTAATAGAGGGATTTGAGCCATGTTTTGTTTTCTTTCTCCATTCTTTTCTGATTTTTCATTTCTTTTAAACAAATAAAAAGTCAGAGCTACAACACGGGTTTTTATTCCCTGTGGCAGCTGGAGAAGAGTCTTATCTGCCAGCTGTCCGGGCATTTAAGATGCCCACAGCAGAGCTGCTCAGGGCTTGGAGGTCTGAAACTTTGACTTCTGGGATGGTTCTGTCTGCCTTGAAAATGCACCCAAATTTTTTAAAAAAGCAAACAGAAGCCAAAAACCAAACAGTTATAGGCAAGCACAATGATGAACATTTGTAATCCCAGCCTTCTGGGAGGCTGAGGCAGGAGGATCACCAGTTTGGGTAATTCAGTGGTGTAAAGAGACAGACTGTCTCAAAATGAAAAATGAAAAAGGGCTGGTGATGTAGCGCAGCGAGAAGGCCCTGGGTCCAAACCCCAGTACCAGAACAAAAGAACACAAAATCCCCTACAAAACCCAAACTTCGCATGTGCGAAGTCGCCGCTTGGAAGACAACTCCGCAGACAGGATTCTCCAGCCAGCCTTCGTGAAACCTCCGCGTCTCAGGTGCGCGGTTCTCAGCGGCCTCTAGTAAGTGACGGCTAGGGGCTAAGGCCTGGGGAGCCGGACGGGGAGCTTCCGAGGTCCGACTCAATCCTCGGCGGCCTCGCTGGATCCCTGGTTGCCGTGGAGACCGCAGGCCACAAGGCGGAAGCCAGCCAGAGGGAGGGATCCGGTGGCCCAGCAGGGGCCGAGCAGGAGAGGAGGAAATTCCGGGCATCCCCAGGACCTGGCTCCGCCAGAGCAAAAGTTACTCGAGCGAGCTCACTGCGCCGAGACTCGCCCCACATTTTTGTCTTTTACAGCCTCTCTCCTCTCTCTCCCTCTCGCTTTTCCCACCTTCTCTAGAAACATCTCCCTGATTTCTTCCCAAATTAAATAAAAACACGAGTCGTGAGTCGAGTGAAATTACTCGTGTTCATTTTTACAGCGACTTCATGTAAGTGGCTTTTGTGTCCTTTAAAAAAGTACCCTTTTGTAGCTATGTGTCATTGTAAATTAGTCTCCTTTGCAATCCAATAGATGTAATTCTCTCCTTTGAAAGATTTTGTTCTGGAAAGGGTCCAGATGGAGAGTTAAGGACCCCTGCAAGTGGCTGGTGGCCACAGATGGGAGCTGAAGGAAGAAAGTGACATTTGAGCACGAGGCTGAGGACAGTGGAGGAGACTGATCAGAGAAGGGGGTTGCAGAACACTGCCTGGGAAGGGAAAGCATGTGCAAAGGCCCTGGGGTGGCAGCAAGCCTGGCCCATTGGAGCAGAGGGAAAAGGCTGGAGTGGGGAAAAGGCAGATTTTGCAGCAGTTACGGGCTATGCTGAGGGCTGCGCCTAAAACCTGGTTCAAACATCAGAGCTTCAGTTTAGGCAGGTGTGGCTTCAGACCAGCCTCAACCCCCATCCGAGGATAGGCTCCAGGAAAGGTAACTGCTATTCCTACCACCGGCGATGGTGGTGGTGTGGTCTGTTTTGTTGCTGAGCTAGCTGCCTCAGAATTACCCAGGACACAGCAGATCTTGACCCAGGATGTCTGTGGTGGAATGTAAGGACCTTGGTTTTTATTGAATTTATTAAACTTTGTGTGTGTGTGTGTGACAGTACTGGGGATTGAACCTATGGAGCACTGAGCTATATCCTCACCGCCTTTATAAAATTTTAATGTGACACAGGGTCTCACTAAGCTGTCCAGGCCAGACTCAAACTTTCAATCTTCCTGCCTCAGCCTCCTGAGCATCTGAGATTACAAATGACTTGTACAACCACACTGGGCTAATTAACATTTTTCACTGCTGAGTATCCAGGTAATTCAAATGAAAAGCACACGTCTCTCCTGCCTCGGCGTGTGGGGGGGTCCCCCCTTTCCCAGAAATAGCCACTGCTGCCGGCAGCTCTTGTACAAGGGACACCTATGTATGCACCCCTGGACTCTGTATGGAAAAGTCAGGCTGTTCTGGGTTCAAATCCAGACTCCTTTACGGTGAGGGTTTCATAGAAGGACTATAGAATGGTGCCCAGTCCATGGAAAGTGATCCACAAATTTTGCCTAGCGGAGCCTGAGGCACCTCGTTCTATTTATTTATTTATTTATTGCGGTACCAGGGATCAGACTCAGGACCTTGTTCTTGCAAGGCAGGCGACAGCACCCGTATCACTGAGCTAAACCCCGGGCCTCATTCTTTTCTTATAGCTGCTTGGTATTTCACTATAAGTATATCCCTACTGGTGAGCATTTAGGTTCATTCCTCCACTCTGAAGTATTCACTGTGTAGCAAGCGCCATGCTAGGGACCAGCCGGGCGAGACCCTGCTCCCCTCTCTCCCCCAACGCTTGGGTAGGGGGTTGGAAGTGTTGGTACCCACAGTGCAGTGAACTTACAATGTTACCAGTTGGTGTCATGGCCCTCCGTGGCCAGCTCCAACAGCACACGAAAACCTGGACCTTGGGAGGGCATTTGGGGGCGCACAGCCTTTGGGGAAGGTGCTGACGTGGGCCCCAGACTGGCCAGGGCGCGGCCTCAGCCCGGAGGAGGAGAGTGAGGCGGCCCCGCAGGGAGCGGCCGGCGCCCCTGTCAGTCTCGGCTGTAAGCTGAGAAGGGTAGGTGGGCCTCGCTCGGGAGGGGCGCGGAACTTCCTGCCCCGGCTCCGCAGCGCTCCGGGCGCGTCAAGGTCACCGCGGCGTGGGGCGGGGGGAGGCCTGCCGGGACGGGGGACCCTCCTGGGGGCTGGGCCGAGGCCTGCGGGCGCCCGGGCCTGCTGAACAGCCAGGCTGAGCTGTCTTTGTCCGCGAAGCCCTCGCCTGAGTTCCCAGCCACGTTCCTGGCCCAGGACGGGCAGAAAGAAGCTCCCGCAGCCCGGGCGCCCCACCTTGGAGCGGGGACACCACGTCGCACCTTGGAGCGGGCGCTGACCTCACCCGGCTCACGTAAGCACGTTGGGAAGGGATCGCCACCCATCCTGGGGGAAGCGAGACCCGGCCGGGACTGGACTTGTTGCAGGCCGCGAGCTTGGGCGGGACGAGCCCCCCCACCCCAGATTCACCCTGGAGATCTTAAAGACTCTGGAGAAAAGCCACGTGGGGGGCTGGTTCCCCTGGGGCTTCCTCCCGTCCCCCGACTGCCTGATCCTCTGGAGCGTCCCCGATGTCTGCAAAGACGTCGATCTGGACGTCCTCGTGGAAGCCCTGAAGCCCGTGGGGACCTTTAAGAAGATCGGCAAGGTGTTCCGAAAGGAGGAAGACTCCACGGTGGGCATGCTGCAGATCGGGGAGGACGTGGACTACCTGCTCATCCCCCGCGAAGTCAGGCTGGCCGGGGGCGTGTGGAGGGTCATCTCCAAGCCGGCCACCAAGGACGTGGAATTCCGGGAGCGGCTGATCCAGTTTTTGGAGGAAGAGGGCCGCACCCTGGAGGACGTGGCGCGCATCATCGAGAAGAGCACCCCGCACCGGCACGAGCCCCCCAGAAAGCCCAAGGAGCCCCAAGCCAGGAGGAGAGTCCAGCAGGCGGTCACTCCGGTGCCTCGCCTGGTCGTCGGCACCTACGACAGCAGCAACGCTAGCGACAGCGAGTTCAGTGATTTCGAGACCTCCAGAGTCCAGGGCTCGGAGGGCTCGGGCCGGGCCAGGAAGGCGCGCAGAATGCCCGTCAGTTACTTGGGCAGCAAGTTCCTGGGGAGCAACCTGGACAGGGAGGACGATGACGAGGACCTGGTCCAGGCCTTCCTCCAGCACCAGGAGAAGCAGCCCAGAGCGCCGCCTGCCGGCCGCGGCGTCCACCTACCGGTGCCGGGGTTTGAGGACAGCCCCGGGCCCCAGCTGTCCAAAGGGGACAGGCGCCAAGAGTATGCCAGCCGGGCACCCTGGGGGAAGCTGAAGCAGAGGTTGACGGGGAGTTGGGCTCTGAGATCAGGCCCCGAGAAGGTCGGGGCTCACCAGGCCTCCGTGTCCACGGAGAGAGATGGGGCGTCCCTCAGCCAGGGGTCTGACTCAGCCAGTGGAGGAGATGGGGGTGCGCCCCAGTGCTCCCCTAGGCGATGGAGACCCAAGATCACCTGGGCTTCCTTCAGGCGCCGCAGGAAAGATGAGACAGCATCCTTGGCTCGGGGGGCAGAGGCCGTTGCTGAGCAGAGAGAAGGGGCTAGAGAGCAGGCTCTCCAGGAAGCCGGGTCTTCAGCTGGCCAGGGCAACACAGGGACAGCCCCAAGAGCCAGGCCCCAGAAACAGGTCAAGACAGTGAGGTTCCAGACCCCTGGACGCTTTCTGTGGTTTCGGAAATGCAGGAGAGCCCTCTGGCACACTCCCCGGCTGCCAGCCCTGCCCAAGAGAGTCCCCAGGGCAGGGGAGGGCAGGAGCCTCAGAGTGCTGAGGGCAGAGGCCGGGGCAGAAGCTGGCCAGGGAGAGCGAGAAGACCAGCTGTGAACGGGGCCCTGCGGCCTCCCCAGGGAGGCAGACAGCAGGGCGGGCAGTACCTCCCATCTTCCTAGGGACCCTCTCTCCTACTTATTTTTTCTCTTGTGCATTGATTTCTTTTTTTCAATTCTGACTCCTTTTTAGCATCCCAAAGAATGTCAAGAAAGGAACGGAGATGCTGGGGTTCTGTCACCGCTCGTGCTTTTAATTTTCTTAGACACAGCCCTCAGTGTTCAGCTTGGAAAGGGAGGGTACAGGCCGGGAGGGAGGGCTCTGTCTCGAATCCCTTTGCCTGCACGCTTAGTATCAATGGCCTCCTTGAACCTGAGAGGAGGACTCAAGCCAACACGTGAATAAAAACGTTTGCCAGCTGATTTCTGGGCCTCAGACTGGGCAACTTACAGCACAGTGGGGTGATATGGCCCTTGCTGGCTGTTCTCCCACCCTTGACGAGGGTGTTGTCACGTTGCTTCCCATCCCTGTGCCCTTGGTTGTTGTGAGTTTGGTAGTACAGGGCCTATGGTTTGCACACTTCCCCGAGACCTTGGTAATGAGCTACAAAAAGTCATCTGGGAAACACATTCAAAGCACGGATTCTGGGATCCTTATTGCTGAGTGAAGGCTTTGCCTGAGCTGGCCGTGGGACCCTCAAAGCTGTTTTGATCAAGCCCATAATCAAATAGCGGCTTGGCCACTGGATGAACTGAAAAGTTGCTCTGATAGGAACAGACCAGAAGGGGCTCTGGAGTCCTGCACCAAAATGGTCCTTATCATCGGGAGTGAGGGGTTGTGAAGGCCTTGTGGGCCTGGGAGGGGACTGAGAAACATTTCTATTGTCTCATGGCCCCATGACCCCCAGCAATAAGACAGCAACCAGCTCAAATCAGTCCTGCTGGTGGCAATCCTGTGTACAGGCGAGGTTGAAAAATTATACCCAGTGCCACCCCTTTTTTGAAGGGTGGGGGATCCAACCAAGGGCCCCACGAATGCCAGGCAAGTGCTCAGCTCTGAGCCATACAGCTCTGCCCCTTTCTTCCAAAAGGAAGCAGTCGCTCCTGGTGACTCATGGGGCCACCTGGTCTTCCCAGCCCCTGTGCTCTTGGCGGTGGACGTGGCCATTTTATTCCCAACTCACAGCCTGGCCACAGAGGCTGGGGCACGGCCCCCACCTGGAGGGGAGCTTGGCAGGTGGGAGGAGTCAGGTTGTGGCCGGTGGGACTGCGCCTTGCTGCGGCGGCCACAGACAACAGTGGGCTCACGACCGCAGGGACTGGGGAGCTGGACATAAAAGCAGCGAGCAGAGCGATGGCGACACCGTAGAGCCCGAGTGGGTTTCTGCACGACCTCCCTGCAAGGTCTGGAGCTCAAGGGGTCTTGAGCCCCAGAGGGGTGCTCCGGAGGGAAAGGGGTGTGGTCCACACAACAGAGACAAGACAGGTTTGACCTGAGGCGTGCGCTGCACAGGCCTCGGCTGCCATCTGCCATCGGCCACACCTCCCTTGCTGCCGTGCTACTGTGCATGTCACACTTGCAGACACGGCACAGATGGCGGCCCCACACTCACCCAGACGCAGGTCCACGGGCCGATCGAAACGCACTGTGGGTTTCCATTTGAAAAGCTTACCACAGCAAAAGATGCTGCTATGAATGCCCCTGACAAGTCTCCCCTCGGCCTGGGGTTTTAGCACGGCACCCTCCTGGCAGGCGAAAGGTCCTGAGCCCGCCCCCCACCTTCGGACACACTTCTCTCAGTCAGGACCACTTCCCGAAGCCGCTCTGGAAGTCCTCTTTTGTGAGCGTCTTTACAAGCTGAGGTCGAGTGAGTGCTGCAGCGGGGCGCCGTCCACAGATCGAATTCCTGCTCTTCCCCAAAGTCCAGATGACCGTGCAAGGCAGTGACTGGAATCGGTTCAGGCCGCGAAGGGCCACAGAGCCACTGAAGGCCTGCGTAATGCTTGCATAGCACTCACACCTGGCCTTAGACCCTCGGGTCTGCACCCGGCACCCCCTCGCCTTCCCTGAACTCACAAACGGCCACACTCACACCCGGGCACCGGACGCGGGCACACGCAACTGTCACCGAGAACTCAAAACAGTGCGGGCAGAAAACCTTCGCTCCTTCCCAGGCTGTACTTTTACAGCCTTTCTGAGCAGCCCCGAGACTTGGGCAGATCTGTCCCCCTCTGAGTCTCACTGTCCCTCCCCCGGCAGGGGACACAAACTTCTTCTCCGCATGCGGCCTGGCGGTCCGAGGCCGGGTGGAACTCGGGTTCAGGGCGCAGAGAAGCGGCCCGGGTCACCGCGCGGCGAGCAGAGCAGTTTGAAGCAGCGAGACTCGAGCGCCTCCTGGTGGGCACCACAGCGCGCGCAGGATTTGCCGATCCTCGAGTCCTCTTTGGGGTGGGCGGCAGGTCTAGAAACAGGCCGCACCCCTGGGGGTCACGGGAGGCCCCTTTGCCCAACTGAGGAGGGTCCCCCGTCCCCTCCCTGCCTCTCTGAGCCTCCGTTTCTTGGTCTGGGAAATGACAGCAACCCCCACCCCCCACCCCGTTCCCCCAAACGCACTCTCCTCTCCACACAAACACAGATGTGAAACCGAGGGAAACCTTAAATAAACCCTCTAGCTTTACCTTTTAGTTGGTTTAAAAAAACCTTTTTAGCAGGGAGCGGTGTCATGGGATGGGGCAGGGAGCCTAGTTCCAGCGAGGCTGGAGGCTGAGGCAGGAAAGTAACTTGCACTTAGGAAGTTCGAGGCCAGCCCGGGAAGCACAATAAGACCCCGTCCAAAAAAAAAATCTAGAGGTCACCCAGTTGAGCAGTGTATTATTCATCTCCCCAGCCTGACACCAGATGACGCCTTGGACGTGTGGGTGAGGATGAGGACGGTGGCCTCATAGGTCTATCCCAAGTGGGGAAGGACACTGACCCCTCACGTGGGCCCTGGCAAGTGTGAAATGTGACTTCTTTGGCCAGGCGTGGTGTTTCACGCGTCATCCCAGCACTCAGGAAGCCTGAAGCAGGAGGATCGCTGCGAGTTCGAGGCCAGCCTGGGTTACACAGTAAAATCCTGTCTCAAAAGCTGCCTCCGCGAAAGAAATGTGACTTCTTTGAGGCCAAATGTAGGACTGGGCTAATGTTGTCCCCTCCCCATACTGAGGATTCAACCTAGAGCTTTTGCACTGAGCTACATCCCCATCCCTTTGTTTTCTGTTTTTTTCTCTCATTGAGTTTATTGGCACATTTTAGATATACAGTACAGTTACATTCATCGTTGGTATCTTGTACCTTTACATGACAGGTCTTGGTTCTCATTTTTTTTCCTTGTCCCTGCCCTCCCTTTGCTTTGTTTTTGTTCTTGTTAAATTGCCCAGGCTGGTCTCGGATTTGCGATCCTCCTGCCTCAGCTTCCCAGAGTGCTGCGATGACAAGTGACCCCCACCGTGCTGGGTTTAATGCTACTTTTTTCTGACCTACCCCACAGCGAGCCTGGAAGATAAAGTACAGGTGCGCAGACCACAGGTGCCTTCCCTTCAGCGGCCTTCCCCAGGTGTCCCCAAGCCTCATCCCCGGGGAGGCGGCTCTCATCTCAGCTGATTAGGAGTAAACCCTTTCTCCTTAGCAAGGTCCTCTTTCAGTGATTGCATCCTGGGTGTGTGTGCGTGTGCGTGTGTGTGAAAAACGGGCCAGGTTTAGGGCCAAACATCTGCATCCCACTCTATTCAGCCCCAGATGCGAGCGGAACACAGACTCAGGCAGGCCTGGGGGCTGTGCACCGACACAGCCCGCCAGGCCCAGCTCCCCCGCGGCCCCGCCCCGCCGCCCTGCTTGACTTGCCCTCTGCAAGCGGCAGAACTCAAAGCATGCCCCTCTCTTCCCTGCTCAACCTCCACCGCACTCTTCAGCGATTCTCCACGGCCTTCAAAGCCCTGCCAGGCTGCACATCGCGCCCCAGCCCCAGCCCCCTCTGCTCTTTTTAAGGCTGCGCTGCGTTCTAAACGCCATTCCGTTGAAACAGCGACCCCTAGAGGCAGATGGCCTATTTGGGCGCTGCACTGAGACTGACATGGGAGGGGCCGGTGTTTATTCGTTAACAAAATCCTAAGGTCACGGTTCCCAGGCTACATTTAAAAAAAATTTTTTTTGGATAGGATCTGAATAAGTCGCTAAATTGTCCAGGCTGGGCTTGAACTTGGGATCCTCCTGCCTCAGCCTCCTGCGTAGCTGAGATCACAGGTGTGCACCTGCATACCTGGCTGGAAAGGATTACAATTCTAATAGGGAGTCAGGGGAGCCCTCCCCAGCAATGCGATGTTTGAAGAAAGGCTGCAGGAAGGAAGCAGCCATGTAAGCATCCCGGGGAGGAACAACCCCAGTGCAAAGGCCCAGAGGCAGGGATATGCTCGGTGTTCCATAGAGGAGTCGGGAGTGAAGCCACTTGGGACACGGAGAGGGTGGTGGGAAATGAGGCGGACACGTAAGGTGGGACAGAGTGTGTGGACCAGAGCTGGTCAAGACGGCTCAGAGACATAGATGCTTAGTTTTAATTACACTGAATTTGACATTGTCCCACGTGGGTAGTGGCTACTTTCTTGAACAGATCTAGCCCGTTATAAGGTCTTTGGCTTTGACTCTAGTAACACACAAAGCCATTAGAGAGTTTGGAGAGGGTTTATAAGTCACTCAGAGGCAAAGCTTGGCCCGGGTTCAAGCGCGTAGAAGCAAGACTGTCTCTGGGTGGGGAGGTATCAGAGGCTACAGGGAGCAGACGACACGCACACTGCGCCCTCTGGCGGCGACGGCAGAGAAGCGCCCCGGCGTCCAAGCCTCCGGAGCAGAGCCGCGCAAGCGTCACCTAAGGACTCAAGGTGGAGCGGTCACTTTGGTAACGGGAGGCGGCTGCAAGGGTGCTCATTGTTTTGGGGTGCCTAGAGGATTAAATGGTGCCTGACGGGCCAGCTCCCAAATTCAGTCTTTGGGCCTGTGGTTTCAAATACAATGATCAGAGCAGTCGCCCTAAAACTGAGGTCTTCGAATCTGCTGGAACCTGGACCAGCTCAGCCGCCACCCTTCTCAAAAGAACGACACGACGCAGACGTGGGGGGACAGAGCCCGCTCTCAGGCCCTATTCTGCCTCTTGGTGCCTCCGTTTACCTGAGAATCGTCCGCTCCCCACCGACCGTGAGCCCTGCGCTGGGTCCTGCACTCCCCAAACCTGCTTCCCTTTGCTTTGGGTTTCGGGGGGCAGCAAGTGAGGGTCGCCCAGTCAGAGCCCGGAGTCCAGTGAGGCTGTGGCTTGGATTCTGGCGCTGGTGACTTGGCAGACAGCTGCTCTGCCCCTCTAAGATATGCAAAGTGAGACCGCCTCGA